AGAACAATATACGTTTAAGGAGAAATAAGTTCGCTTAACCAGAACCTTACACGAAAATTGTAATTCATGTCGGAAGTCAACGAACCAGTCTATTCTCCGCGCATAGCAGACAATTCGTATACAAAACGTGCAAGGGTGAAACGGTAGCTTGTAGTATTGAGGGACATAAGAAGCGGGAGCAAAGTTTCTCTCGCTGTAACACTGGCTTACTTATACGAAGTCGAGAACTAACTGCTCTGCTATTAGTTTGTGTGACAGTTAAAGTAAACTACGCATTCAACTCGGGGGCACTAATTCTGTGTGAACTACATTTCGTATTTACAAACATTGTTAAACTGATGGAGTCGATTTCTTTTTGCTGCTGGCTCGAAGAATCGTATTAAGATCGTGGCAATGAATGAAATAACCATTTATATGTTATTTATATATAGGATGTGGATAATATTATGCTTGTGCGAATCTATATACAGGATATTAAATCCTAGCTTAATACAGTTGCCCATTCTTATAAAAAGTAGATAAAGAAATCAAATTCTGACAGATATTGATGTTGTTAATTAGATAATTTGAAAAAAGTAATCTTCCACTTGACATACAGTGCATATAACATATGTTATATGTATTGCATATTTATCTAAATTGTTCGTAAGATAGATTAATTATGTTCAAAAAGTTTTAAGAAATGAGATTTTAAAACTCAACTATGATATAGTAGTTGTGGTCAGTTACTAACAATTTATTTTAATAATCAATATGTTTCTGTGGAATAGAAAATAATTATTATGGCTTTTTAATTAACGATAAACTTGTAATGAATTAATTTACCTCATTAGATGGAAATCCGCTTAAAATCCTGTTATTCTATGTGGCTTAATTTTAACGAGTATTAAACCGAACATGCATTGCTTTCGCTGTACAATTTTATTGTACAATATGCGAAGCCTTTCTCTCTTCTACACAACTGCATATAGAGTATTTATCATGTCACACCTTCCAACATGCTTATTAACAAGTACAACTAAAACAATTACTCGCTTTGATCGTACTCTCGAAAACGGATAAATTGGAATTACGTAACCTGATAATTGCACAAATTCGAAACACGATACCTTATTGCCCATACCGTAAATATTATTGTATACACGTGAATGTTATTGCAAGTAATATAAATTGTGTTCCACCCGGTGCATTAAAAAATACGTGTAGTTTCTCGTTACGATATTAAATCAAAACTTAAAATGGGGCTGTTCGTTGTACAAATATTAAATTTCGCAGAAATACATTAAAATATTCACGGATGATATTTAAAATTCTACAATTTCATTTTTAACAAATTTAATTAGTAAAAATGAAATTCATTATAATTTATACAGCTTCCCGAGTATAATGCAAACTTTAAAAAAATATATTGCTTCTATGGTTTCAAATTTTTATAGTAATGAAATAAAGAAACACTTTTAAAAAATGTATTATTTCTAAGATTTCAGATTTTTATAGTAACGAAAGAAAGAAAAGTGTTTACAATATCGTCATTACCACAAAATATTTCTCACTGAAACAGATTCTTTATGTATTTTAAAGAATAATAATCTATTTATAATAGTGGCTAAAATGGGTAACACAGTATTTCATAGCATAATTAATTTAATTTTTGAATTCAAAACGTTTCGTTTTTTGTAGAATTGGTTAAACAATAATATTACTCCGCCAGGATACTTCCACCAGCAGTTAGAAATTTATAATGAATAACATCTGCTGCTGATTACCAAAGGTTAAAATAATAACAAAATAAACGTGAAAGATACAAACATAATCATTAAACGGTAGTGTAACATCTGTGCTTTAAAATGATATATTGCACAATAAACATAAATTCAAAATTTGTAGCATGCAAGGCCTTAAATATTGAATTACGTAAATCTGCAATTTATTTCCATACAATGTATTAATAAAGAAAATTAATGAATGGGATCAAAAGAAGAATCTGTGGAAAAATATATATTTGTTATAATCGGGTTTGAACATTCACTATATATTACTTTACAAATTGTTATTTCACTATGGAATTAAGAGATATATTAAGAGATATATTTGGATATAACACATCAGCAACTGCAAATTTATCCTTTCGCTACCAATGTTGGTGTGTGAGACAAGAAAAAAATATTTAACAATGAAATATGTTTCAAAGAAATTAATAAATCATTATTCAAAGTAATAATAATATACGTAACAATTAATGAAAATTGTCGTTCTGCTCTAATTGATAAGGGAGATGCATTAAGAAAAATTATAAATAAACTTCTTTCCACTTCTTTAAAGAAACATGCTTTCATTGCATCTTAAAGTGCCCATTGGTCTCACAAATCAACAACAGTTGTAGTATAAGTTTTTTCATCTCTGTAATTAGGAGTTAATTTTCGCGAGCTGTGTAGCTCCGTAAGTGACAGATTATTAAAGTAGAAATGAAAGTATCAATGATCTCAATGAACTGTGGGTTCCATTGAATATTCGCGGGTTTCCTAGATACATTCGAAGGGTTGCCTCATTGAATGAAGATGTCCGTGCGATCCCCCGGATGAAGTTTGTCCATATAATGGACGACAGCTGAAACCTAGGGGACAGTTACAAACACAAGCAAAGTTTTGTCCGTTATAATGCCACTTCGTGAAGACCATAGCCGGTGCACCAGGGCCTCTCTTCCTCCTCCGTAGCCCGGCTAATCCCACGTCCGCTGCATTCTGCAGTTTTGAAACTTTCCAGCGTTACTGCAATGTCGTAGCTTAAGTGTACCGACGTACCGTGGCCTGTATCGTGGTCCACACTGTGTCACTATGGATTCGACAATTTATTACAGCTGGTTACCCGTGTTAGTTACGTGTTCATCGTTATTTTGAGGCATCGCCTGTCCGTGAACGGGAAACCTATGAGAAAGTTTTTTGAAATTATGAAACAGCTGGATATTACAGCAACATGTGACATAATTATTTTATTAGAACTTTGAAATTAACTGGCGTTGGAACGTTATGGAATTATCATTTGCGGTCACGCTTTATTTTTATCGACATTTATTTTTTCTTGGTTTATAATAAGTGTTCTTAATAAAAATAATTCTTGTCGTGGCAGTTCTTTAATAAGTAAGAGAGGTATTTAGTAAAAATATGGTCGATATAGAGTAGCGAACAAAGGAAAAGATTATTTAAGAAAGAGATACAGTACGAAGCAATCGAAAGAATTACATATAATAATATAAAGAGGCATATAAAAGCAAAGGAGTATGGAACACAAATTGCGTTATAAGAAATTAATAAGTGGCGCGTGTTAAAGCGAGATTTAATGAGGCAATGAGAAATTAAATTGACAAAAACACACTGTAATAAAGCATTGAGAAAAAAAGATAAAATGTAGGTCAAGTTGCAAAACAATTATTAGTCTATATCCAAATTAGATGCAGTGCTGGAAAGCGTTACTTACTTTAATGAGTTGGAAGATATACTTAGTTTTAAAAATGATTGAAAATATGTAAATTTAAATTGGGTTTACTATTAATCAAATAAAAAAACATCAAATTAGTTTCTACATCTAACAATTATAAATATATAATAATTCATTATATCTAAGATTTCTAATATTAACCAGAAGAATTCTTGGAATTCTTCCTGAAAATAGTTTAACATTCTGTAAATAAATAATGCTATCCTGAGTTTCAACAGAATCGTTTTATAAAAAATTCAGAATTAATACAAGTTGTAATATTTATGATAGATTATGATCATGTTTTACTGCTACCAATATTTTTCTGAATTTCGGTCATCTTGAACACAGTAAACTTTTATGACAGTAAGAGAATGAGGAAGAAAGTTCGATTGTAGCTCGCCATGGACCTCGATTGGGTCCCTTGTGTACACGCCTGGAAACGAAGTCACGTGTTGGTGACGACTTCTGTTCCCGAGGATTTCGCTAGAGAATTTTCGCATGATCGTGACTATACCGTCGCGAACATAGAACGGTATACTATATTTTGTGGTAACGTTACGGTTTCTAGGCCGAAGTAAACTCGACATTTTACGGAATTTATAGAATAATCGATTGTGTAAAACAAGTTTATCCAATGGATCTCTATCCATAATAACTGTTTATTATACATAATATAAAATATATGTGGTATTAATGGTATTTTCAATATGTTTTATCACCATCCGCACTTAAAAACCATTCTCTCCCCCATAAGCATTCTTCTCACTCGCACTCATCATAAACACTCGGATGCACCCCTGGAAAGCTGGCCCTGCAATCTTGGGTCCGTGACGTTGTGCAGGCCACTTTCCCTCGACCGTTTTACAGCCTGTCCTTCGCTCACACTCATTCTTACATTCACTTTTCCTAAAAATACTTTAACCTACGCTAAAAATTCTAGATATTACATATGATACAATCACAAAGAAATAATATGAAAGAATATGTAATACAAAGAAAAATCAATGCAAAAGACAATGATATAAAAATATATTTCAGTCCCAAAATAAAAAAGAAATGTTCTCGCGTTATCAACACAATTACACTGCTTCCAAACAATATCAAAAGGCAGCTGTGCAATAACAGTTTCTTGGCGAATAAAGTAAAAAATTTTTTATGAAATTCTAAGTTCCATATTCAGGGAGAATAATTTTAATAAATTACCTATGTTATTAGTTGTATGAACCACACGGAACACCTTGTATATGCAGGCATAAGCTATAAGATTATCATTTCCCGTGTCTACGTAACATTACACCTTTGAACGAGGAATGTTTTGCGTGACGCAGATAAATATATTTTCTCATACGATTATTTGTAGGAATCGAGTTCCCCCAGAATTCCCGGTCGAGAATCGTACCACGTTTTCCATTCATTAGCCTTTCATTTTCTCGCGACCGGTCCCGTGCTCAATTTAAAGCCCAAAGTTGACAAAGACCAGATGGATATTCGGCTCCGGCTAATACCGCTTTGGATCCTTTCAGGACAATGTACCGCGCCGCTGGGTATGGAGAATGGCGAAATCCCCGATGAAGACATATCGGCCAGTTCTATGTACGATCCCAGTCTTGGTCCGAAACATGCCAGGTAAGTGAACAATGATATCGCGGAATGCTCGGCTGCCAGCCGAGCAAGTCAGCCATATTTCGGCTGAACACGGGAGTTTCTGGTTTTCCGCGATCTACACGGCAAACCTCGCCGCGATTTCGTTGATTGCACAGTCTTAAACAGATTGATACGAACGCAACGGTCTTGTTTAAAACTTGAACTCTTTATCGAGGAGAGGGAGCAGGGTGGAAGCACAATGGCGGCTCGTTAGTCGGAAGTACCGTTTCCAGTACGAAATTAGAGTTGGGAATAATTTTTGAAGTTCGCCGTTACTCGCCGCGTATCTGACTTTCTGGAATAAATGGGTCCTCGTTTCCCCCTGGTTTTTAAACGTTTTATTGTGCTTAGCACCTTTTACTGCTGTTACTGATGAGAACTGCGTCAAAAAGCACACGTGTATCTCACTAATTTTTAATTGTTAATCTTCAGAAATTCAGGGGTCTTTTGATGATATGTAGGAAATTGCTATATTTTGAGAAAAATGCAGTAGGTTTTAGGAAAATTATTTTCTATTGATGGTAATTCGTATAGTAAGATAATTGATACTTGTGTGTATATATATAGTAATTTGCTTTCATTATCACTTACAAATTTTGTATCATGGAAGAAGATGAAATATAAAGATAGTGTAAGTATTAAAAATTGCTAGATTTCAAAATAGAAATTATTTTATTGCATTGCAGTGGTCGAAATACTTTGTCTCTCTATTGTGTACCTAATTACATTTCTATACAATAATTATATTATAAAAAGAAAAAAATTACTTCAGTTGAAGAAATATAACGTAAGGTATTCTAATAAGTTGACTTTATGACGGTAAATATAAATTAATGATTGTAATCAACAGTTCTCGATAATTCTGTACACTAATCTGAATAGCTTATAAATTCGAACATTTATTTACACATTTTCAATTAAAAAAGATTTCTTTTAATGGAAAAAGTAATATAATAAAGTCTAATAAAAACAATCAAACATTTTTGCCAGGTAATAACAGCAAATCTAGTACATGTGTACGAAATTTATAACAGTGATAATATTATCAAAACTTTCCAAATTTTTATTTGTACAATCTGAAAAAGAGTAATAGTGCTTGTAACGCTGACGCTTAAAGTAGAACACCTTTAGTTGTTATGTCAGCAGTGCTGGCAAATGTAGTAGCACGCTTCAGTTGTTGCGCCAGCAATGCTGGTAATTGAGGAGCAAAGGGTTAGGACGGTTCTAAAATGTTGCAGCTGGTGTAAAGGCAATTCCATTGGTTTATAACCTTCAAATGCTCCCTAATCTTCCAAAATTAAAAAATTCTAAACACGTATATCATCATTAAAGAAATCCGAATTTTTGTCGATTCTTTTTTCATATATACTATATGTATATAGAAGTTTGAAACCACTTTTAGCAATCATTATTTACGAAGAAAAATCGAAGAAAAATAATTTCACTTTATTACTTTTTTAATCTTGTATTTTTCTATATTTTAATTTAACAACCAACAATGTTTTATTCATTTTTCTGCTTCATACATCTTGAACAATTATCTGAATTTTTTCCTTTAGAATGACTGTATTGTACTGCCAGGTTTTCCATCGCGAAGATGTTTATTACGAAAAAGAGAAATTGCTTCGACAAAGAAGACAGAAAACAAGACAGAAATAATATTTTTATTCATTCTACAGCCGGAAGTAGTATTTAAAAAATGCAAAACTTTAAATACATATTCATATATTTTCCATTAAATAAATCCACTCCGTCTGATCAAATATAAAATGTTCAAATTATTAGCGGCACAGTACATAAATAATTTTTCGCATACACAAAATCTTAATAAAAATATTCCCATATTACACAGAAATTCCTTGAAGCACTTAAAAATGAACATTGTAACACTCTCGCGCGGGTTCCGCGGAAAAATGATTTCCTATAAAACCAAAAAAAATCTAAACTATTATAAGCAATCTTGTATATCAATTACTTCATAATCAGAGCAAAACACTCCGAAAAAAAGAGTATAACATCGAAAACCGTTTAACTTAATATTCCCCCGACTCTCGTTTCTTCTTCGCCGTGGCCGAAGGGGGAAAAGCCGACCTCGAACTTTTATAAACTGTCCCGGTAATAAAATTTCGGTCCGCTGCGTGCTCCAACGTAGAGTTTATTTCGCAGAGTGTAATAGAGTGCATCGCTGGAAGCGTTTAACCCGGCAACTGTGTACGTAAACGCAATCGTTGGTTCTGTCGACTGAGGCAACAGCGGTCGAAAATAAATCTCCGCGTTAGGAAGGTTTAAGCTCGATAATTCGACGTCCGCGGCGTCCGGTAAGCTCTCTAATCGCGTCGAAATTCTTTCTATTTCGCAATCTGGGTCGCGTGACGCGGTCGAACGTTTCACCAGCAATCCGCCGGTCTTGTATTAGCGAGTCCACCGGGTGGGTTCAGTTTATTTCTTATTACGACGCTGAGATTAAAATCTCTAGGCTGCCCGGGTCTGACTTTCCCTCTTCTTCTCTCTTCCTCTTTACTTACCTCTTTTCCTTTCCGTGCCTTGGCTCGCATTAAAATTTTAAAATGCGAATGGCCTGAAAAGCATGCTTGTAAAATTCTGTTATCGCGAGCCGGAATGAATATCAGATATCGGGGTTCTGAGGGATGTGAGGAAACAAGAACGGCTGCTTGTAAACTGGTAATACCGAATTAATCGCGCGAACGATAAACCTTTGCGAGAACAGGAAGAATTAAGACGGCGTCTTTTCGTGCCGTATTTCATGAACTAGCGCGCGAACATCCTCAGCTGTGAGAATCTCTTCACGGTCGGGTTTGTAATTCGGCCATCTTGATCGAGGGGGAGGCCCGCGGCACGCTCTAAACCTTGTTCTGTGTTTATGCAATAGTTACCTTTATATTTTCCTCCTCGGTGTCCTAGTTAAATTAATATCAAATTTTATTGTGAGTATCTAGTAATACAAACATGTAATGCGTGAAGAAATTATTTGAAAATATTTGCTGTTTAGAGAAAATTTAGTTGGATACTTTCAGAAATTTATTGTTGAACGGGCCAATGAAAGTTTTTAATATTCTTCAATTTGACTTGCAGACTAATTTTACAAAATATCAGAAATATACAGGTGAAAAATTCTAAGCAAATTCGTAAATGTTATTTATTTTCGTTTATGCGTTCGGAGAATTAGTTTAAGGTTAGAAATGATATTTTTGTTTGACAAAAGTTGATGGAAATAAGTTGGTATGTAAGCCGATGAGTTACTTGACTCCAAGTTTAGTCTTCCCAAATTATCTCCGCGTACCATGGTTAATATAGAACGGCGGTTGTTCCAAAATTATAATCCTTTGAGGGCTGTGTAACATATACCGAAGGTACAGTAACACATATAAAATTAACAAAAACGAAATACAAATGTGGCACGATATTAATTAAATATTAAAGTATATAGTAAGACATAAAGTTAATCCATTATTACTATTATACAATTTCTCATTCAATATCTTGTATCCGATATAAGATATTTCAAATTAATAGGACAATCAAATAATGAATTAAGTGGTATTAACTATAAGTAAGTTAATAGTTCACAATATATAACGTGCCTCTACTTTAGCTTAACCAATTAAATTACCGAAAAATGTGCAGATGTACGAAATGCACAGTTTATAATTTGCACATGTATGTATTGTACAATTGTAAAGCAAAAGTCTTAGCAGAGTCTTTCTGCCTGCACCTCCTCACCTTAAAATACTGGTCTCATCTATACTAATCTGTGCTGTATAAATAAATTTTTCTGGCTGCACAGTAGCAGCAGTTGTTAATACTTACAATAAATTACCAGAAAATTGTTGTACTTAAGAAGAACTGCAAAACAATAATTAATTTGTTTAACGATAAGTAAGTATTTTTCTGCAATAATTCAATAAATATTTCGCATTTCGCACTGTGCATATTTTACATTGTGCACCTTTTTCTGTGCGTTTTCTGGTTACCAGTTTAAATACTCAAAATGGTACTTAAAATAAAAGGATTAACAATATTTTTTTAATATATTTTCTATGTAACAAATGTATTAGAAATTCAAACGATTGAATGACTTTGCACGGTTGGTTCCCTTACAGAAGAAAAATCGCGAACACGGATTAACTTTGATACAGTCTCGGAGCCGAGTGTCCATCGTTTGTCAATAAGAGAAATCGTCTTCCTAACATTTTTACTAGCGATATTGCGATCCTGATTCGCTGCGAGTGTCGGACGCCTGACAGCCGAATCGATTCGGCACATTTACGAATCTAGGCAATTTATGAGGGTCACTAGTAACGTGCCGCAGAAAATCACCAGCCGATATCTGTTAATAATGCGTTTCGATATCCGTGATTCGTGGCGGGAAGAATAATATTGGCTCAAAGAGAAAGAAAAAGACAGGTGTATCTTTTTGTTTTCGTTTTCAACGGCAGTCTTACTGGTTTTCCACCGAACGTAACCAAAATGCTCTCGAGATAAAACGAAACTCCCTCGTTGATCGGCGAGGCGAGGTCATCGTCAACGTTATCGGGCTGTGTAAAAAGGACGACGTATCGGAGAAGTGTTTCATTCGCTACTGGAGATTCAGCTCTTGTGAAACGAAAAAATGGGCTGGATGAAAAACGATTGACAGTGGGAGATTAATTTGGATTTTCTTCGTTTATTTTGACATACAGCATTGATTATTAATTTTTATCCGAGATATCTTTGAAGCCGTATTAAAATTCTTAAGTGTACAATTCCAAATAAATTAGAATGATTTCTGTGAGGTATATTTAAGTAGAGTTCCTTTACTGAGATGGATTACTTTCGATAGATGTCGATTTGTATTTATTTGACAGTTCTTCTGGTTTGAAAGCAGTCGCACATTTATTTGTGAAAACACGTATTTTTATTACCCGATATCTAATGTTATGGTATCTTATGTCACTGATAAATTAAACACTGAATCTTTTAAA